AGGGGGTGCGCGGGAGCGGAGGCATGCGCCAAGGCTGGGGCGCCCAGGAGAGCTGAGATCCTGGCCCCAGCCAGCCGCCGCCAAGAGTGCGCAAAGGACCCTGCCCCGCCCTGGCTCTGCGCTCCCATGGGAGTCCGAGGTGCAGCGCACTCGCCCGCGCTAGCCAGCGCTACCCAGCGCTTGCCAGACTCTTGGAAGGAATTGGAGCCCGGGGCCGTCGTTCATTGCGAAGCTGCGAGGCTGGCAGTGGCTAGTTTGTCCCCAGTCCCCTCTGGTGGGACTCTGAGCAAACTCAGCCCATTCCTGATCCTCTCTTCCTTCTCCCCTGTCCTGCCTCGCTTTCTAGAGCAGTTCCTTCCCCACACCTTCCCCAACTTTCATCTCTCCAGTCTTGTCTTGAGGCTCATGATGGATGGAGCTTCAATGGACCCCCGAGGTTTCTCAGACTTTTGCCCCTGCCCCATCACCTAGTGGGAGATGGCGCTGTCCCCTACCAGGTCTCCTTAACTACAGGTGCACCCACCTGTGCCCTGTGGGAGGCACTGTGGCCTATGGGGCTTCCTGAGCTGACACAGACAGGGGTCCCCATCCCTCCAAATACCTGATAAGCAGAGGGATGTCTGTGTGTCACTTCGCTGAATATTTTTAGGTGCCTGTGCTCTGCAGAGAGATTTCCAGCCCTGCATTCACTGGGTGGTATCGGATCCCTTTGGGAAATTCTAAAGAGACTATTTGCTGTTTCCTTTAGCTCAGGAAAGCGGGGGTAGGGGGGGGGTTGTGGGGAATGGAAGCTAGGATTCCCGGAGAGCCCATCCTAGGGAGGGACTCTGGGGAACCCTTCTTCCTGGCTGCTAGGCACAGCTTGCTAGGTGCCCAGACTGTCAGCTTTCCCCTTTCCCGCTAGCGAAGCTGGCTTCTCCTGTTCTATTTGATCTCATAATGGAACAATAGTTGAAAGAAAATGTATATAATGTCTAAATATTAGCAAGATACCTAGTGCCAAAGAGAAGAAAAATGTTAATCAAATATGATGAAGAACGGGGCCTTTTCCCTGGGTGAACAAAAGCTCACTGCTGCTCTCAGCTGGACATGAGTTTTCTACACCGCAGCTTTAGTTCAGATAAAGATTATTCCTTTATAATATATTTTTTATGGCACACAGGAGACTCTGAAATGCGGAGTCTGGTGTCCTGTAAATCACTCCCTGTAACTAGGGATGCTTTTTCAACCACCACACAACTGCATTACTGTGATGTTAAGGGGAAGGGCCAGCTGAAGCTGCCAGAAACACTGGCTTCATCCAGCCCTCCTTCCACTCCAAGCCCAGCTTTCAGATTGTCAGCCAGGAAGTTTGGCTATCTGGTAATGTTGTCACTGCCTTGAGTTGGTCTCATTTTCCTAGGCTGGGCACAAGGATGCTGTGGCCAGCAACTTCCTGCTGTTGACCCCCATCTCTCTATCCAGGCTCTCAGCAGTCAAACCAGACTTGACGTGTGGGCAGTTTTTATTAAAGATGTGCTCTCAGAGTTGGAAAGTTTTTTGATTAAATGGTGTTAAAATGTAACCCAGAAAGGGCAAACTGGTAGCAGATATCTGGCATGCAGCAGCAGGAGGATGTGAAGCATTTAAATCAACTCCAAAAGTTGAAAACCACAGAGTTTCTTTCCCCTAAAGAATCAGTGGACTCGCTGAAACACACAGCTAAAGCTAAAGCTAAAGCTGAGGACTCAGATCTAGAACTTGGGCCTTCAGTGAGACCCAAGCAGTTGCTGCCCCTCCTGAGGGGAGACTACAGGCTCCACTTTTCACGTGTCTGTCTGGGTTGTCCCTGCACGTCCCTGCACGTACACGATACTTATCTGGAGATTATCAGTAAGATTTCTCAGAATCCTTTCTCTTGTGTATACCCAAATAGCTACACTCAAAAGTGTGGTGTCTCATCTGTGAAACGCCATGCCCAAGAAGTGATGGGGAAGAGGCATGTACTGTCTTTGGTGGTGGTGGTGGTGGTGTGCATGAGGGTATGCGTGCATGCGTTTGGGGGACATTAGGGGTTGTTCGTTCTGTTAGAGAGAAGCTCTGAGCATTCCATACTGAGGTCCTTGTGTGCTCCACTCTACTATAGATGAAAGAGTTCCCTGAGAACATATCCCTAAGAAACTTGCAATAAAGAGATGCTCTCTATGTAGAGAGAACACCAACTCCAAGCTGCAATGCCCACTGGGTCTGGAGAGGAGAAGCAATATTGTTTTCTGTTTCCACTGCTGACACCCGTGCTCACTCAGGCCTAGCTGAGTTTTCACAGTTTTCTCCCTACGCATCTCCAGGCCTCCAAACACCTCATTTCTATTCATCCTAGGCAGCAAAAGCGAGTGGATCAATGCTTCGGCGTGATGCTTCTTGCTTCCGCTAATGCCCTTTCTGGATTTTTCCCTAGCTAGTAAACCCCAACCTCTTTTCTTAGAAGTCCCACCTTTCATGAACCCCACAGCTCTGTCGAACAGATGTGATCTCGGTACACATGATGTGACTGTATTCTGCTTCTGCACCTTCAGATGACAGGGTCAAGACACACCTGTCCATTCCAAGCTAAGAGATTCTGAGAAGATCGCTTTTTTCATAGTTTCTATATAGTTAAGTAGAGGAAGATAAGGATCACCTGAAATTGTTTTTATAAAGAACTAAATTGAAATAACCAACATATGCTAAAGATACCTGGCTCTCTGCCTGGCGTGTGGTGGCCAGCAATAATTACTTGGATCTAACTTTTGGCTCAGACCCTGCCTACTGTTTTTCCTATTAAAATATTGTCCCTGCAAAATGTATATGTGTCTTTGCCCCAAACCCAGCCTATCAAGTTCACGGAAGTTTAACTCCCTAAACTGCTCGGAACATGGCAGCTGTGATGCCAAGCCCAGTGAGTACAAACTATCTCTGAGATACTTCAATTATGGTTTTCTGGACATTTTAAAGAAAACTACCAGAAGGATTTTTTGAGGATTTGTTTATATGAAGGAAATCTTTTTGAAATAAAGAAATAAGCAAACATAGACTTTAGGAAAGTAAGAAGAATGCATAGTAGCCATTATTCCCCCAGGCACTGCCCAGTTTCCTTGTAGGAACACGGGAATGTGATTTCTGTATTCCTTCCAGAGCGTGTGGCTGTGAAATGTTCCAGCTACTGAGCAGAAGGAAGGAGGAAGCTTGGGGAGACACTGTCCTGCTGAGCAACTGTGGATGAAGGGAATAGAGTTCCTCAAGGAATTGAGAAATAGTCTTGCTTATGTGTTAGCATAAAAGGCTTGGGTTTGGTCCTTATCACAGCTCAATATACACTGTCTGACTGATTACAGTTTACATGCTAACTTTGATTTGAATTTCATTTGATCTATCTAAGAAGGAATCTGAGTCAAAATGCCTAGAGATAGCTGCACATGCATGCTTCTAGTTCTGCACTGTTCCCAACAGACAAGACAGAAAGACAACCTTGATATCTAGCAACAGATGATGAAGAACTAAATAAATCTGGGAAAATGGAGGGTTCTGAAGGTCATTTGGTGAGTAAAATAAGCCAGAAAGAGTGTATGACATCTTTCCTACACAGGATCTATTTGGTGTGTGTGTGTGTGTGTGTGTGTGTGTGTGTGTGTGCACCTACACATGTATCTCTACATGATATGAAATGAAATGCATAATGAAAGACAATTTTGTACAATGAATACACACTAATAAACAGGTTGACAAAACTTCACACATAGAATTAATATATATGTGCTGACAAGAGTGTTTTATTCCTCAAGTATTAGAATTCTGTTTTATAAATGGGAATAAACAAATTAGAAACTACCGCAATTTTTTAAATTTTTCAAGCAATATACAAGAACCATTTTCTCAAATACAGCATCAACGAAGGTGCACATCTGGAAAAATCTGGAGGTAAATTGAGGAGACTTTGAGGCAAAACCAAAGGGATGAAGACAGGGGATCAGACATTGTTGGACAAGAAGCAGAAGATCAGTACTGTAATATTGATGACCAGGAACATTACATTACATCAGAGCCAGCTCTGGCAAAGAACTGGAAAATCTGGAACTGCTAAAAAGTATCATGTGACCAAATCTGGGGAACAGAATTAAGCAACTGTCAAAAAGACGAGAGGTTCACCACTGCATCTCAAAACAGAATAAACAAGGAAATCAAATGATCTGACTGAGGAAGCTAGAAAAAAAAGTGTGTTGGTTAGGGCTTCCGTTTGTTTGTCATAAACACCATGACCAAAGCAACTTGGGGAGGAAAGGGTTTGTTTTACTTACAGCTTATAGTCCATCCTCCAGGGAACTCAGGACAGGAACTCAAGGCAGGAACAGATTCAGAGGCCATGGAGGATTGCCCCTTGCTGGCTTGACCTCAGGAATGCTCAGACTAGCTTTTTATATCACCAAGGACCACCAGCCCAGGGGTAGCATTATCCCCAGTGGGCTGGGCTCTCATACACCAATCATTAACCAGGAAAATGTGCCACAGGCGTGTCCACAGACCAGTCTGGTGGGGAAATTTTCTCAACTGAGAGTCCCTCTTCCGAAATGACTCTAGCTTGT